CCAATCACAACAGCAGACGACGAGAACTTTACGCAATAGAAGTGTTTGTGAAATAAGAGAAAATTACAAAAAAACACGGAAAACATTTCAGACTTCTTTGCTCTATCAAATTTTCAGCGATTATGGGAAATTTTTTGACAGCCACTAACTGAAAATATGCAGCAGCAGCTCGCTGGACTAAGCGACTTAATATTGCTAAAAAAACTGGTTAACGCTCGGATGCATTACAGCAAAGTCGGATTTGATGTTACAACAATATTTTCGGCACTCAAATAACCTTTGCTTCTTTCAGTTGTTTTTCGGTGAAAACCTCATTGGCACCAAGAGCTTTCAGTTCATTCGCAACTTCTGTGAAATCTGGTCGTTCCCGAATAACATTTACAGTTCGCAAACCCCAATTCTTGGCAAGCTAAAAACTTTTCAGTAGCGAAAGAAATTTCAGAAAAAATCATAAAATGCAGAGCTCTAGGCAGACTGTCGTAGGCCTGTGCGCTTTGGTGCGAGAACATAAGATTTTTCAGTGACCGTTTGAAATTCATTTATTATGTAAATGAATTTATTCCACACAGCTGCTTCGATCAATTTTGCTTCGCCTAAAAGACATAAAAGCAGCAGAAGAGATGTGCTATACTAAGCACTCCACTTCATAAGAAAAACGAAATAAAGCATGAAATCTATTATTGGGATGCACCAAATGAAGAAGGTTCGATGACTAACAACCACGAAAAATTTGTTTCTTCCACTAATAGATAAAACGGTGATACAGTGAAACAACAGATGGTCCAAAAAGCAAAGTTGTTTTTACGCTATAATCAAATTACCTGAATAACTGCTCTGCCGACAGAAGAATTGGCACCATTTTGTACAATCAGGTCACCAGGTTTTAGCTTAACAAAATCCTTTAACATACGATAAGCAGTAGGAGGATTGACCTATAAGGATGATTAAATAGTTTCAATTTATTCGTAAATCTTCCGCAAATACTATAAACAGAAAAAAAAAATTTGCGTGAACTTATCAATTTATATATACATATATGTTTAGATTAGCCGTAAATAACAATCCGACCCTTTAAGTATGAATATGTAAACTTTTCCAGTTATCTTAACCAATGTCGCAGTGCACAGTAATTAGCCTGATGGCAATTCTGACATTCGTTTTGACTGTGGGAGAGATTAACAGCTTAACAGTTCTCCAGCAATTTGGCATGGCTTTAGCCATTTTGAGGTGTTTTTGTTCTGTGTTCAGCATCAGCACCTCGGGCGAACGCTGACTCTCGTAGACGAAGGAAATGCAACCGACTAGAAAGATAATTTATTTGATGTTAGGGTAGCCAAATTTAGCAGATTACCTGAAATGTGGCAGCAGCATCGAGCGGAAGATTATTATCAA